ACAACCTAAAAGCCGAAGACACAGCTGTCTATTACTGCACAGGGTACACAGTGAAATGAATCTTAAGGGATCTCATGAAAAAACCTTTCCTTTCACTATTGAAATGTCTCTGTAGGGGACAGCTGAGAACCACAAAATAAGTTATGTAACCATCTGGAACAAAATCACTCTGGCAGAGAAGAGATGAAAATGAAAAAGCAAAACAAAAATACCACTGAAGAAATTATTGCTCCACAGTTTGTGTGGTTGAACAAGTTTCACTCATTGGTTTCTAATCTGGTTTCTCAAATATTCTTCTTGCAGGGCTAAATGACATCTCAAAATGTCCTCCCTTTTCTCTTCAGGGATTCATTTCAATAAGATTCCATGGATTTCTTCCACAAGAAGCCATATTCTTCATAAGATCTTTTGAATTCTATGAAATTTCCTTCCCCCCTGTTTTTCCCCAAATCAAGTTTTATTTTGAGAAGATCTGCTAGATACAACGAAGTGTAAATGAGAGATAAGCAGCATGAATTCCACCTCTCATTTTGAATGTTAAAAAAAAAGAGCAGCTGAAAGTATAGAATGTTGGAAGTCTGATTCAGGTGCATTTTCCATCATTCTTATACTCCAGTGAATCAGTAGCTGCTTGAATTGCTTACAAATATTATCTGCTGATTGCAAATCTGCAAAATTGCTTCAGCTCTCCTTTCCTTTCTAACAATGACTTTTGTAACAATGACTGTTTAATTTTGTCAAAGCAAGCTGTTCACTGATGTTTACATTGCTGCTTCTTAATTAGAAACTGAACCAATAGATACAACCCACGTCTGAACATTCTTGTGGGACAAATATTGTTAGAGTAGTTTCTAGTCCAGTGGGTGCTTCTAGACAGCAATGACTTATAAATTATAATCTCAGCTGTGGTCATAAATCAAGGAATGTGTGCGTCCAGATGCACTCCATGCTCTTTGTATGACAAAAATATATTGTTTACTGGATTTAAATACACTCCTGGACTTCATCACATATTTATAGAGGTCCCAGCAGGGTTTATGCAAAACCAACATGACTTTCATTTTCTATTTAGACTCTCATTCGTCTTCTACATTCTCATCTCAAGGTGCAAAAGACATCCCTTGAAAACATTCCTCACAATGACACTCCACTTCTTAATTCTCATCATGCTGGTTGCCTTCTCCAGAGGTTTGCAGTTTGGTCCATGTTAAGCTTCTTCTATCACTCAGGGAAATTTCCTGTCTTTCTAATCATTATCCAATTATGCTTGATTCTTTAGTTGTTGTTGTTGTTATTTTTCATTAGGTGGCCTCTCCCAGGTTGTTCTGACCCAGTCAGATGCAGTGATGAAGAAACCAGGAGAATCCCATAAATTGATTTGCGCTGTCTCTGGATTTGACCTTAACAGCTACTATATGAATTGGGCCCGTCAAAAAGCTGGCCAAGGATTGGAATGGCTTGTTTACTATTACTCATCTAATACTGGGTATTATTCACCAAATATCCAAGGACGTTTTACTGCCTCCAGGGACAGTTCCAACTGCTATCTCCAAATGAACAACTTAAAAGCCGAGGACACAGCGGTCTATTATTGTGCAAGACACACAGTGAAATAGATCTTAAGGGAACTCATGCAAAAACCTTTCCTTTCACTACTGAAATGTCTCTCTAGGGGACAGCAGAGAACCACAAAAAAAGTTATGTAACCATCTGGAACAAAGTCACCCAAGCAGGGAAAGGATGGAAATGAAACGGAAAAGCAAATATATACCCCCTTCCAGAGGCCAGAGGACATCTCAAAATGTCTTCCTTTCCCTCTTCAGGGATTCATTTTAGAAAGACTCCTGGTCTTTCTTCCACGAGAAGCCATATTTTTCATTAAATGTTTTGATTGTATTGAATTTCCTCTCCTGCTGTTTCCCCGAATCATGTTGTGTTTTGTTAATGTATATTGGACATAACCAATATAAACTAGAGGCAGACAGCTGTGAATTTTAGCTCTCTTTCCTCAATGTTTAAAAAAAAATACCCCAAAATAGCAGAATCCTCCCAGTCTCATCTTCCTTACACCCCAGTGAATGTGAGGGGGGTACTTAATAACAGCAATCATTTAGGTTTGCAAAGGCCTCGACCACAAGACCAGAAGTGGGGAAATTCTGTCTTTAGTTTGTGAAATTCAATGGATGCTACACAAGATCATAGTTCCCAACTATTGCAAATTGTTGAAATGCTTTTTTCAGTCATGATACCTGCATAGATCTGCATAAATTTGAACCTACGGAAAGGGAATGCTGCAAAATATGTCACACTACTAGTAAAAGGGAAATGAAACATCAAATATAATGGCATTGTGGTTCTTTGTATTCGGTTTGCAGCTATCCCAACACGTAAGAGCATTAAATAGAAAATTAGGAGACAATTATGTGGTCAGTGTTGTTTGTGGATTGAAATACTTTCTTTTTCCCAAGGGGTCTTTTTCAGACATACTTGTAGAATGTCTGGGCCAGGAATGGTGAGACATGGAAGCCAACTCTATATGAATTAGTTATGACATCAACCTTGCCAAAGACTGGAATGGATTGTTTACTATTACTCATCTAGTAGCAAATATTATTCACCAATAATCCAAGGAAGTTTTACGGCCTTCAAGAACAGTTCCAACTTCTACCTGCAAATGAACAACTTAAAAGCTGAAGACACAGCTGTCTATTACTGTGCAAGACGGGATAGCAGAAAACCACAAAATGAATTGTCTAGCATCTGGAACAGAATCACTCAGGCAGAGAAGGGATGGAAATGAACAGACAAAACAAATATACCCCAAAATATATCATTACTCCATCCTTGGTGTTGTTTAATCTGATTTGCTTTGCTTTGATGTTTAACAACACATATACTGTTTCTAGCAAAGCAATGCCCATTTGGATCAATGGATTTGCTTAACAATGAAAAGATTATCTTATCAATCACAGAAAATAATGGTTGAAAATGTGTGTCCAGTCATGTAGTTTCCTCTACTTGTGACAGCACTGGTTTACAAATAAAATTCCGGTCTAAAAGTTGAGGACTGCTTGCATCCAGATCAGAGGTGGGTTCCTACCACTTCGCACCAGTTCGGTAGAACCGGTTCATCAAATCTACTGAACCGGTTAGAAGAGGTNTATCATATAAGTCTTTCATCTCATTCTTTATCTCCTCTCTGAGTTCTCTGAAGGCTTTTAAATTCTGCTCTCTAAATTCTCTAAAAATTTCAAAAAAAGAAGATCTGCTAGATACAACAAAGTGTAAATGAGAGGTAAGCAGCATGAATTCCACCTCTCATTTTGAATGTTAAAAAAAAGAGCAGCTGAAAGTATAGAAAGTTGGAAGTCTGATTCAGGTGCATTTCCCATCATTCTTATAATCCAGTGAATCAGTAGCTGCTTGAATTGCTTACAAATATTATCTGCTGATTGCAAAGCTGTAAAACTGCTTCAGCTCTTTTTTCTTTTGTAACAATGATTGCTTAATTTTGTCAAAGCAACCTGTGCACTGATGTTTCCATTGCTTCTTCTTCAACAGAAACTGAACCAATCATACCTTACTCAGCATCAAGTCAAACCTTCAAGCTAGTCCAGACAAGGAAACCCAATAAATATACATCAAAAGTATTTTCATTAAAAGAAATACAGTAATAGTCTTTCAACTTCGAATGCTTCCACCTCCCTCTTTGAAAATTGTCAAAATGGCGGAGGGTCATGTAAAAGTTTTATCATGTGACTATTCTCCCCCAGAGTCAGGTTCTTCTGATGTTTACTTTGCTAGTGGCTTTTCAACAGGGTTGCTCTTGAAGAAGATTTTAATCTGCATTGTTTGAGAATTTAGGGGGGATGCACAATTTGACCCTAATAAAACTTCTGTTGCGTTAGTAGCACTAGCTTCTGTTAGAAATTTTGTTCATAGAACCAGATCCTGAAGAGGAAACTCAAATACTTTGGCCACCTAATGAGAAAGAAATAATCACTGGAGAAGAGCCTAATGCTGGGAAACGAGGGCAAAGAAAAAGGGGATGAGAGAGAATGAGGTGGATGGATGGAGTCAATGAATGCGGTGGGTAGATGGAGTCAATGAAGTAGCGTGAGCTAAAATGGACTCTGGGGACTGAGGGGATTGGAAGGGGACTGGAAGGGGATTGGAAGGGGACTGGAAGACCTGGAGGAACATTTATAAACTGCATTATTTTGAGGATTTAGTGCGATCCACAGTTTAACCCTTATAAAACTTCTGTTGTATTAGTAGCATTAGCTTCTG